ATCTAACTGTATTCGTTAAAACTTCCTGCTAATTCACCATAGTAGAAATAAGTTTTTTGCTGAATTTGTCACCTTGTACTTTTTACCCTATAGGCGGTTTAAAATGGGCAAACAGGTATTTTATTTTTAATTCTGGAGAAATTTCACAAAATTGTTACTATATTCCATCACTAAAAAATAACGTAACTCTGGATCAAGTATTTCACAGAAATATTTATCAACAGAGTTAGAATAACTATTTATTTAACTTATCTATTATAAAATTGCTTTTTCTAACTTATTTTACTTTTTTTTACTTTTTACACTTTTGCTAAGGGGAACCAAGTTTAGTTTGTTCGTTTACTCCGCCCACGTCTAAGCTTTTATAGGGGTTATATAAAGAAACCGCTAAATCTAACTTAAAACTGAAAATCGTCTTATGGAACAATTAAATAAATCAATCAGAAATTATGTACATTAAGGATCTGTAAACTCAGTAACTGCAATGTGTTAAGAATCAGGGTAATGGCTGGTTATTCATCTTTTACCCTTTACTTTCAAATATTGTTGTTATAAGATTTAGTTTTACTTTTTTACTAGCGGACTTTTAAGCCCCGCTTTACTTTATTATATTTAGTAAAATATTTATACAATGCTTAATATTTATCAGACTATAATTGGAAAGCTAACCGAAGGTTGATATTGCATTGCCAATGTCCAAGAAAGTTAAAAGTGCAACCAATAAAAAGTATTCAATTACACTTTTGATATATATATATATATATATATATATATATATATATATATATGATGTATAAAATAATATTTCATAAAACATATGATAAACATTAGAAACATTACTTTACAATATTTTTTCGGTACATCTAATACTTCCCAAGCCATCATCACTATGTTACACACGTAGGACAATGTTACCGGTCGTTTGGCTGAACGTTTGGTAGTCTCGGGTGGTTTGGTTCGGCGCTCGAATTTTGGATACATGCCAGCTAAGCCTTTCTCTTGTTAATTAATGTCGCTGTTATCATAAATAAATCAGCTAACACTTTTGTTGTAATTACGAGCTGAATGAACTGCCACCGCAACACAAAACAAGCAACGATGTAACTGCAACAAACTGCGTCGTCCGGGAAACTTCGGCTCATAATAAACTTCGCAATGCGGCGAGGATCTATACATGATTTTAAAGTTTTGAAGTTGCAATACGTTGCAACAATTAAAGTATAAAGTTTTTATTAAAATAATCAATTGTAAATTTATTTTCAAGGTTAATCGAAATCTATGAAAAATTATTGCTATACATACTTTACTACACTACCAATTCAAATGTATTTGAATTTAACAATTAGAAATATGAAAAAATATTGCTATTTTTTTCCAATGAAAACTGCGTTGCTGCAATATTGCAATTAAGACAGTCGTGGGTTTGCCTTCTAATACCGTTCAGTATTAAAAATATAATTTTATATCTTAGATAATAAGGACAGTTAATGGATCGTCTGCTAACAAACGTCATTATCAGATAAAATTACTACTAAATACAGCTTATAGAACATATATTAGTCCTGACGGCTGTAAAATAACATATTTTTTATTTTAATTGTGCAGAAACTTCTTATAATAAACATATTAAATAATAAATATATTAAATAGAAGGCATATACAATCGACTAAGTTTTTTATTATATTGCAAAATACTTTTAACATTGACATTTGTAATTATATAGTGATAACATCAAAGTATTTGTAATCTAACTAATACAAAATAAAGGGTTACTACATTTGCCACGTGTACGAAATTTCTACTATCCCATTTGTTTGATTTATTTGTAATGTAATATATTATTTTAATTCAAAAATTGTATTGTATACCAATCAAGTTGTATTTTAATGAGTTATAAAATACCTATTATCCCGATTATTATACAGGATGTCCCGGAACTCAACGTTGAGACAAAACGGGGTGATAGTATTGAATTGACGTCCTATCCTGGAAATAAATTGATCTCGTGATGTTTGAAAGTTATTAGCTTATAAGGCAGTCTAGAGCTCTAGTTGAAATGGAAGTAATTTCTGGATATTGTGGTTAGTTTTTATTGATTTTTCATTTAAACTTCGTTATCGTAAATAAAATTTCTAGGACCACAGTCGAAAATAATAACACAATTGCCTGGAGTTTTCAAAAATTAAGACTTTTTATTGAACTATGAATTTAAAAAATTTAAAATCAATCGACGTCAAGAAGCTCTTCTTTACAAAAGAAAATACGTATCCAAAGTTTAAATGAACTAGCTGTAAGTGGAATTCTGTCTTAAGGCAATTAGGGCATCATGCCTTAAGGCGCATGGCATCGTGCCTTAAGGCAAATTGCAGGAACTTCCCGTATCAAAAATTATTATTTTTTTAAAAACGAATAACATTTTTAAAAAAAAATTACTTCGGAAAAATTAGATTTCTGAGAAACTATAAATTGGACAAAAAATTACTTTTTAGTGAAAAAAAAATTTTCAAAAGAAAAACAAAATTTTTTTTTTTAATTTTTTTTTTTAAAAAAAATGTTTTTTTTATTTTGACATATTTTGGAAGATCTGAACTTTTTTTTCAAAGCAACCGTCCTGCATTAACTGCATAGAGACAAAGTATAAAGCGCGTAAGCGCCGCATTGCTGTCTAACGGATAAACATTGGTACGGAACCCATAGGAATGTAAACAAAATTTATACTTATTGTTAAAATCTCTATAAAATATCTGATAATTTGATGTGCATATTTCTAATGATCATTTTTGACCGCTAAATGGCATTTTTTTTTTACTTTTTTCGTTAGATCTCCGAAACCGCTAGACCTGCCCTCATGAAAATTTGATCAATTATTCATCTTGTCAATACAAGTGAAATGTTTTTTGAATTATTGAAATCGGACGCTTCGTTCTCTTAAAAACTGAGTTACAGTTTTCGGCACTTTTTGCCCCGTATCTTTGGAACGGCTGGATCTGCCTTCGCCAAAAACTAATCACACGTCTCCTTATCAATACAAATCGAATGTTTTTTGAATTATTCAAATCGGTTGATCCGTGTTCCCGAAATCGTCGACGAAAATTTGTATCCGCACATACATACACACACGCGCACACACACACACACATACATCCATTTTTTCTAAGGTATGCCAAAATATTCAGAAACCTTTGAAACGTCGAGAAATGCAAAAATTTTCATTTTCGATTTTTTTGCGATTACTATAACTTGCCCTACGGGAAGTTAAAAATTCAATAAAAAATTAACCACAATAACTAAATTTTTTTAACAATTTATCTAAAGCTTTAGGTTGCACTTGAAAGCTCATAATTTCTAAACAAAGCAAGATAAAAAAACGCAAAAAGTTGTTTTCAATGTTATCATCCCGTTTCTGCTTGACGTTTATTTCTTCACAAAGTTTTCAATAAAGAGAGTTAACTGAAGCGTCACATTATATTTAGATAGTTTATGATTAGATACGGGCTTATCAAATATCCGAAGGCGGATTGGTTAGGATTTGACTCCGCTTCCGAAAGGAGTTATAATCACTTAACAAGTCCGATGACTCCGACAACTTCGAAACCTAATACTCGACACAAATGTGTTGTATTGTGTGTTTTTTATATATTTAAAGATTTATTAAGTATTTGGAAATCGCTTGCAAACTGTTCAAATATTTTTGTTCATATTCTTATATAAAAATACTGTTTTATACATTTCAATATGCATACAAATCTCAAATCGTATGCCGAAACTGAGACAATAAAAATATTGGAGCGATTTACACTGAGTCGACTGGTTGATGCTTCGATAGTGGAGTGTAATTTTTATAATCGCCGAAATGTGAAATCTCCACGATGATTGCATTTGAAATGAAATACTGTTGTCTATTTAAGTTTAGTATATTTAACTATTGTCTTACAAACATGTTCTTTTTTTTAGCTTGTTAAAACTAGACTGAATATTTATCTGAATTTTAGGACCGACGGAATACATTTTATAGTCTTATTTAATAACCTAATTATATGAGCCGTCAAACCTGGGCAGGATCGTTTCCTATTTACGGGATTGACAAAATACTTCCTGACCGTTATATGTAACAATATTTTACAATTTTTCAGCGACGGCCAAATATATTTCGATATTTTCAAGGGTAATTCTTTTGCTATAAATCGTCAACATTAAATAATTGTCAATAAAACAATGAATTAAAAATTTTGCCAATAGATGTTGAATTTTGGCAGGTGATCGAATCAATGGTTTATATGGTTTGCAGTGTTGACCAAAAAAAAAGAAGACTCAATTTTATAATTATTTTCGAAGAGAAAGAATAGAATTCTATGAATATTTTTATATTTGAACAAAAATAATGCTGGAAACTTTTTGTATAAAATAAAAAATTTTTCACGGCATAATCATACCTCACAATTTCCTATTATTCCCGTTTTGAGTATTAATTGTATGTCAGGCAGGTCGATTAGCATATCATTACTTTTACACAACTATAAAAACATAATTGTATAAGAGTAAGAATATAATACTAAATATTTTCTTGCGGGTTGTACACCATTTTGTATGAATACAAAATTGCATTATTTTGGGACATTATATAGAAAGTCATAAAATTGCCCGTGAGAAAAGCGACCGTTTCTTTCGATGAAAATTTTTATATTATTGAAAAATCTCAAGCAAATGTCTGTATATCTTAGGAAAGTCGGGTACGACAAAATCTCCGATACAACTCTGCTCGGTTTCACTCCGTGTCAAGAGTTAACCATCTCTAGTTCATATATAAAATTTAATTATAATTCATATAATAAAGTATATAAACTAATTAAAATATAGATATATTTTAAATAGTTTATATATCCGTTTTCGACAAAGCAATATCAGTAGTAGGAACTATATTCCGTATAGCGTTGTTTTAATATGTACATGCACAAATACAGACATAGGTATATTGAAATCTATATTTCTTGCATTACAGGCGATTCGATATATTCGAGCAAGAAACACTCGGCATCTAGCTCGACTCTCGTCCGATCCGCTCGGTCTGGTGGCGGTGGCTCATCGGCGGTCAACGGGATAACCGCGAACTCGAAGCGACATCACCGCACTACAACGGGCGGCGGTGCTGGCAGTTCTGTGGCGAGTGGAATGACTTCGTCGAGCAGCACCTCGTCCGCCAATAACCTGGACAGAACCGAACATGCCATCAATGATGTAGAACAAAGACTTCATCGGCTAAGTCTCACTAATGGTAATGATGAAGCACTGGTTCTAAATAAGATATTTATGTAGAATTATGAAAGTTTGTAGGTTCTTAATGAAACTTTCTGATGAAATATTTTTATAGTCAATTGTTATGATATCCAGTGTATAAAAAAAAATTTCAAAATTATGTTTCTACAGTTTTGTTCGTATACAAAGTACTAACTTTTCTAAGAAGAAGTTTGATTTCACCTAAAACTTCTATCAACTACTAATTTTATAATTTTTAGCTATTCTGAGTCTTTTGAGACTAAAGCTGGAAATTGTGTGTGTGAGACCGGAGATTTTTGATTAATATAAAAAACGTTTGAAAGATATTAGTTGAAGGCTCGTTCTGATTAGTTTTTGTCAAACTTGTGGCAAATTTTTTGCCGTATTTTTCTAACTAAATATTAAAATACTGTTATTGATGATGTTTTAATAAAACTTAACAGGGCGATATAGTTCATAGTTGCTAGAAATATTTTGGGTTAAACGGGTCAATGTTAAACAAAGAGAAATATCACAGAGATGCACAATTCTCCAAATGCAAAGATCTGATTAAAACAAACTTGTTTTTATAAAACTCATTACAATATAATATTTGAACACTATTGTTTACGTATTTGTAATTTTATATATCATTAACTGCACGGGAGTGATATGATTTCGCAAAAATCTTATTTTCTAATTATATGATTTTTTTACGTTCCAAGTTAATCTGAATCAGTTGAGACCAAAATTTGGAAATAATATTTGTGTGAACCAAATTTTTTTTTATTTTTTTTATTTTCATCTAAACTACAACTGCCTGTAAAGGTATTCAGTAATTGTTGTGATTAGTTATTAAATATGTTTCTAAAATACTACCCATTGGTAGTTTTTCAAGTTAGTATAATAAATATAAATATGTGACAATAATTGGTGAACCAAAATTTAACTTTAATCGATGTTTGCTCAGAAACGTTTGCACTGATTCCAAAAGTGTCGAAACATTTTTATGAGTTTCTATAACAAGTCTCGTTGATTAGTCCTACAGTTTCTTTAAAATTAAAAGAAGAATACTACATATATATGATGTTAAAATGCATGATCTTAAAAAACTTCGTATGGCTACGGCAAGTGTATCAATTATTAAAAATCAATAAAATTTGGAATTATTGCGCTTTCAGAAAATACGTTTTCATAGACACTTGCTCATATTTTGTTTAATAATCTGTTGGTGATATTTAATCAATTCGTCAAAAATGACGATCATCTTTGGCAAGTTTCCAGCACTATCGAGGAAATTAAAAGAAAAATGCGATATTAGTATGATGATGAAGTTCATGATTTCAATAAACATTGTAGGCCTGCAACAAATATATTTATTGTGGAAAAGCATCAAGTTTTGAATTATTGAGCTTTGAGAACTTACGTGTGTTAGGTACGTGTCCGTATTTCGTTTAGTAATGTATAATTTGCGAATGATTTGTCAAAAATTTCAAGCATGTTTCACAAACTTGTATAAAATTTAATAATTTAATGAGAAATGCTATTAATCTGCGATCATTTCTCACATTATTATGGCATGCAACAATTCAGTATACCTATAAATCCTTCATACATTAATATTATATATTCTTAATCATTAGGTCAATTGTTTACACATGTGAACAGGTGAAAAATCCACTTACATCTAGTTAAGATAATCTCTTAATGTAAAAAAATGATCCCGTAATAGTTTGCATCGGATTATTGAAACATATGATGTCTTAACAATATACTTATTTAATAATTAGATATTTTAATCAAACAATATTTGTTGTAGCTGAACAAATTAAATGTGTTTGCTCCTCTTTGTATTACTACTGACATAAAATATTTCAAAACGTCTAGCAACAATTAAGCTACATTTATTTCTTTTATTATATAAATAATGTTGTTGTTGAGAATGGAAACAAATTTTTTTCCAGAATCAATTATTTTGTTAAAACAAGCAGAAAGTTTTTTGAATCATTCAAATCAGACTCTTAATTCTCTCAAAAATTGCTATTTTTGCACATTTAGCTCTGTATCTTCGAAATGGCTGGGTATGCCTTTACCAAAAACTCATAACCACTTCCCCAAATTACTACCAATTAAATGTTATTATATCATTCAAATCGGATGCTCCGTTCTCTTAAAAACTCGATTTCTATTTTTTGCATTTTTTGCTCCGTATCTCCAAAACGGTTAGACCTGCCTTTGCCAAAAACAAATCAGCACATCTCCTTATAAATAGGAATCGAATGCTTTTTGAACCATTCAAATCGGTTGATCCGTGCGACCGAAAACGTGGACGAAAAAATGCGGACATACAAAACCCACGCACACACATATCCATTTTTTCTGAGGTATGCCAAAATGTTCAGAAACCTTCACAACGTCCAGAAATGCGAAAATTTTCATTTTAGATTTTCGACCCATTACTATAACTACCCTACGGGAAGTTAAAATATAGTCACCACCGGCGAAAAAAATCCCGTCATGAACAATGAAATTCCGTATGGTATATGCTACTGTTAATGTATATAAATAATACAGAACTGAATTCTCTAAGTACATAAATCGGCGTGTATCGTCTGTCATCTGATGACAAATATTGGCCACATGTTTGCTGCCGAATTCATGCTTATTGCGCACTATAGCGGACGGAGCGGCAGCATCGGATACATGTGACAGTTGTATGACCTTATGTTTAACTTTGGCTCCGAGAAGGATATTGCTACGAATATATAAGCAAATATACATAACAAAAAGGATTTATTAGGTAGATTTGAAATAATAAATTAAACTTTGAACACAAAATATATGCAGTTCTATACATCGATTTTTCATGAAGTTTTACAGTTTGTTTATTTACACCTAAATATTAACCTAATGTAATAGTAATGATACAAAAATAATATAAAATTTTACACGCATGTTGAAGAATTATTTAAAACTGCAAATTGACTCAAATATATATATGGAAATTACGAATAAAATGGCATGGGATTTTGTTTTTAATGAAAACTATTTAATTAATGATATTACAACTATCATCATTAAATACCAGTAACATAGTCTTAGGAATTATACCACAATTATTAAGAAAAAATGCAACCAATTACAAAAACCGTTTTGTGCAGATATTACGGATTAAATAATATATAGGGTAAGGACTAAGGACATACGGATATGCTAATTTGTGATTAAAAGTATTTCGAGTGGATTTATCACACATCACTAAAAACGAACAAACACTCTATCGTTATATCAAGTAAAACGTCTAATTTTAATTTTAACGAACATCAAAAAAACTACTCATTTTCTCAAACTGATTAGTTTTTGGCAAAGGCAGGCCCAGCAGTTACGGAGATAAAGAACAAAGAGTGCAGAAAATATACATCGAGTTTTTGAGAGAGCGGAGCATCTGATTTGAAAGATCTAAAAAACATTCAATTAGTAATGATTGGGAGAAATGGCTATTAGGTTTTGGCAAAGGCAGGCCCAGCCATTTCAAAGACTCAAAGCTGAATATACAAAAAATGTCACTTTTTGAGAGAAATAAGCATCCGAATTGAATAATTCAAAAAACTTTCTGCTTGTGTTGACAAAACAATTGCTTTTCAAAACATTTGAATTTTAATTCTGGCTAAAGTTTTAAAGCTCACTTATATACTTTATATAAATATTACTGACTTTGTGATTCAGTTTATATAATTATTATAAATAATATACAATGTTACAGTATTCATAATAATCTATTTGAAAAAATGTAATATTCCTCATCCCACATTTCGTTACAGTATGTAAAGTTCCAGCAGTTAAGGCACGATGCCATACACCACTAGTTTTATTTCAATTTGAGCATTCCGAGAAATACATAGAAGATATTTTGTTTTTATTACTCTCAATATAATCTAGTTTAAATCTTTAAAAAATATTTGGGGATTTCATTACGTAATAGCTATATGTTTTATATATATTTAACATTTGACACCATATTTGAATACCTATTATGTGTGTTGAATATTTCAGAGCAATAAAGACATCATAAATTATACTCAATTGTCTCTTTATATCCTCCATCGTATAAAGTGGGCGGTTTAAGAGATCAATTCGAAGCCATATATATGTTTATTAAGTAGAGCGAATGTGAATTGAACTATTCTCGGAGCTGATTCATAGGCGCCAAGAGAAGAAAAGAGAAGTTATATTACTTTGTAAAAGTTATGATCTCATTTTTAACTCTCTATAATAATTCTTTAGCGCTGCGATTCAAGGCGTCGATGTGCTTAGTAAAGCTCAGAAACTAGGTGTAAGTGGCATTTTCGTTTAAACATTCGTATTTATATAATCGACTCAATCGGCAAGAAATCAGTATATCAATTTATTAGGGATTAATAGGTATATTGAGTTTTGTAGAGCATTATAATATGAGAATGTACTGCAGATTAGGCAATTTGTACTACAATCTAACAATATTCGTAATTTTTGACATTATGCGATATTTGAAAATTTAAAATTAACAATGAAAAGATTCTTACATTCAAATACTCTAGTTTTTGCCAAAAACTAATCTGCATAATTCCTAAAGGATAACGTCAATTCATAAAGGATTGACGAACAATTTTTCACAAAAAATTAGCAATTGGATTTTCTGGAACGTACATGAACTTATTTTTGGGGAAGTTAAAAATATCTAAATAATGTATATTCATACTTACTTTATTTTTTAAAAAAAAAAATATTATCAATCAACCTTTTAGTAAATACAAATGACATTATTCAATATAAAACTGACGGTTATTGGTTATAAAAATTTAATTGTTTTAATTTACCATTAATTCTCATTTGTAAGAAAAATTTTAATCGCAGTTCTCAATACCTCTAAATTCTTGAAAACTGTACGCTGATGCAGATATAAAATTTATTCTCATTTGTGAAGATAAATCGAAACTTAATAGTTCTATGAGCTGTGGTACTGAAACTCCATTATGCTTTATATTACTTTTAAAAAAAATATCTCAGCGCTATTTGGAAGATTTTTATAACTAAAATTCATCAAATTCTGATTAGATATATTTAAATACAACTTATAATTTTTATCTATAATTTCAAATGAAAATTAATACCACCACTGCTTGATATCTGTTTGTCCATAATGGGAATTGATCCCGGACCTGCATAAAGGGCATCTTAGCACTCAGCATATTGGAATCTTCGTAGATAAATTGAAAAATGTAAAAAACTAAAAACTGTGTAAAAACTGAAACACATGAATAATAATATTATATAAAATAATGTTATATGTTATTACAAAATAAGACATTCATTATGCAGAAATATTATAATTATATAGTTTTGTACAATTTGACAAATCATCTAAATAATTAATGTTATAATTATCACATTTTGACGTTATCAATTTCGTTGTCAATTTTCTAAATTACAACATCACAATCTCTATGTTGCTTTTTCATAAAAAACTTGTTTTAATTACATTATCATTAAGATCTATGGGTTACATCAAATGTCTGCAAAATAAATACCCCTATCTAAAATTATAATATTAATATGATAACGAGCACGAATAAAATGAACATATTCTGCATCTCGGGCGCGTTACGAAATAAGCATTGCGACATGCATAATAATAACGTAAGTCAATGTAATATCCGCTCACCGTTCTCCAACAACTCTGTAATAAAATTACGAACGCGGACTCAACGCTTTCCATCTGAAATAACTCGTAATTGAATTACACTACAAACAACTGAATTTCACAATTGCGTTGCGGTTTCGTTGAACAAATGCCGTGAAAATGCATTGCGGAGTGCGGCTTGTCGCGGATCAAATGCTATTTTGAATTAATATTATTATAGTTGTAGAGTTATATGCACAGACTAAATGTATTATAATTTAGTCACGTTTTGCGATGTGTACAGACGCGAACCGAACATTTACAACTGAATTGATTAACTCGATTTGTCTTCAACTGTGGAATACAATGTGTCTGAACTTTTTTATGAAACAGATGTCCGAATATTTAACTAGCATTCACTTTCAACTACAAATTTCAAATTGAGTTGAAAACTTACATTTAAATACTATCATATCTTAATAAATTAAATCAATTAATTAATTGAATTTTCTATTATTAAAAAGATGTTTTTGAATAAAAAACATTTAGAAAGCACCCACTAATGTGTTTTCAGGAGTATGTAGTAATGGAAATAATGCGGAAGTATTTTGATTCAAAATTTTGTTCAAATATTTTGTCTTTTTGCCACATTTTTATGATTATGTATCGATCAGTGTTTTTCAATTTACAGTTATATGCATAACCTGAAAATCTAAAAGTTGTTAAAAAAATTTCAGCTGAACTAGGTTAGTTTAGTTTCTCAAAATTTCGTGCAAATTATCTTTAAGTAAAATTGCTCCTTCATGACATTTGATTATAATTTTTATTAATTAAAGATTCATATATATCGCTTTTTATAATCTTTTTTTTTCTAAATTTAAAGTGATAATAAATTAATGCGTGTTAATGTACAAGGCGGCGCCACCGGATTATTTACATCGCACGCTTTATGCGTAATATACGTAAATATTGAAAACTGACTCGTTGATCGATTATATATACTAAATATAAACCTGTTCTCACTATAACAATAAAATCATACTAGTAGTAATACCATATGTTAATTTTACGTCTAAACTACATTTGATATGCGTGAATTTAATTTATCAACAACTATTCATACATTTGATTACATGTTAGGTAGTAAAAGTTCTAATGATTTCCAGCTAAGGCAATAATAGTAGTATATATATTATTTTACACAATAAATTGTATACAAATATATTATATACCAGTGATCTAGAATGTTGCAACTCATTAAAATGCTAAGATTCAAACTGTTTCATATTATGTTATTTATTTTGTTTGTTTAGGCAAAAAACAACATTAATAGTTAAATATTTTGTTTTTATTTCATTCTGATAGGAAATTTTACAATTAATATTGATATAGAATATATCTTAATTAATCTATGCAGAGTTTTATTAACTTCCCGTAGGGCACGTTATAGTAATCGCAAAAAAATCGAAAATGAAAATTTTTATATATCTTTACGTTTCAAAACCTTCTGAACATTTTGGCATATCTTAGAGAAAATGGATGTATGTGTGTGTATGTATATGTGCGTGTATGTGTGTGTGTGCGGATACAAATTTTCGTCGACGATTTCGGGAACACGGATCAAGCACTTCGAATAATTCAAAAAACATTCGATTCGTATTGATAAGGAGACGTGCTGATTAGTTTTTGGCTAAGGCAGGTTCAGCCGTTCCGAAGATACGGGGCAAAAAGTGCCAAAAACGGTAACTCAGTTTTTAGAGAACGAAGCATCCGATTTTAATAATTCAAAAAACATTTTATTTGTATTGACGAAATGAACAACTGGTAAAATTTTTGGGAAGGCAGGTCCAGCGGTTATGGACTCTCAATAAAAATAATTTGAAAAAATGTACTTTGGCTGTCAAAAATGTTTATTGGACATATGTACATCAAATTATTAGATATTTTATAGAGATTTTAATATTGTGTACACATTTAGTGTAATTTTTTTTGGGTTCCGTATGAAGATTATTAATTTTGAAGTTTTTTTTTATGGTTTACATAAATGTCTTCGACATTTTCGACAGTATGGAATAACCGATTTGTATGATTACGAAATCATTCGATTCGTACTCGATCGCGAGGCGTTTTTGCAAAAGGCAGTTTTGCTGTTTCGGAGGCATGGAACGTAAAGGGTGTAAAAACAATTATGCAGGTTTTGAGAGAACGGATTATCCGATTAGATTAATTTAAAAAACATTTTGCATGAGTAGATGGTGTGCAAAAAATGCATTTACAGAAAATTTAGTGATTTTGAAAATTTAAAAAAAAATCAAAATTTTCAAAAAAATTCAAATCTTCGAAATTTTTCAACTTTCTCAAAAAAAAACTAAATTTCGAAAAATTACAAAATAAATTATTTCTCACAAATATTTGAGCATTTTTTGAAAATTAAAAAAAAAAAAATAGAATATTTTCAAAAATTTTCAAATTCTCAAAATATTAAAAAACATTTCTTTTAGATTCCAACGAATTTTAAACTCCAAAAAAAAATTCGAAAAAAGAATCACAAATTATCAAAAAATTTCTAAATTATCAAAAAAATCTAATTTTGAAAAAATGACTCTTGTAAACGTACACATAAGTTGTTTATAAAAAACACTCATCATCCAATTTAATAAATAATCTATTTGAAAATCTTCAAAGCAATTATTGATTATTTTTTCATTCCTCAAATATTTAATTACGGTACGGGAAGTACCAGCAATTTGCCTTAAGGCACGATGCCATGCGCCCCACTAGTTTCATTTTGATAAAGTGTTAATAGATTAAAATAAAATATTATATCTCGACAACTTGAAACATGAAATATATTCTAAATTTTCATTTCCCATTTTGCTGGAGGGAAACAATTTCATGTTATTTTATTCCTTACAGTGTCTCGCGAGTTATCGCCGCCCGAGCCGGCTCCGCCTGAAATACCGCCGCGCGGTCCTTCGCTGCATTGCGCAACGCTCCGCATTCGAACCGAGTTTCAAAACCCCGTGCAACAAATTAACAGTACAGCTGCAAGTCCGGCCACCAATCTAGATGCCAGCAAAGCGAACGGCGTCGAGGTCGAGAACTACACGTCTGCTCAAGGTAAGATTTTGATCTTTGTCGGTTGTGTTTGGGATTGATTCCGACCTGTTTGGGAATTTAGAGAGTCGAAACGATTCCCCATAGTTGCTGAAGCGTGACTCGTGATTGTGAATTGAGTTTAAATTCGGAATTTGAGAAAAGTGATTTGCGCTCTATATACTCTATACCTATATTAGTATACAATGTCATTATTGTCCACTGACAATTGTTTACCTTCTGGTTTTATTAATCGAATTTGTAAATTCATGTACACTTGTTAATGACTTGTAAAAATGATATACTTACGTATTCAGAAACACTACTATCTGAACATAAATTAATTAAAATTATAGGTTTTTTATATTTTATTTTCTTTATATTAATTATAAATTATATTTTATTGACAGTATTTGAATAATGTAATGAAATAACAATTCTAGTGGCAAGTTAGTACTTATAAAATATTGCACTATGATATGAATAATTATCAATATTACAATAACTCATAGGTTATTTTTAAAAATGTCTAATCATTAACAAAAATGGAATTTTAGTCGACACGTTCTCTCGCATATTCTCTAGAGAATTTCTGTGCTGGTCTAGATATGAGTTATCACCTAATAAAGTAATGAATAATTAACGAATCTAAATACTACCAATAAATCCATTAAAATTTAACTATTTTTATAAATATAAACGATTTATTGATTATAAAATTAAATGAAATGAAAATGACAAGTTATATTGTTTTTCAAGATGTCTAGTCTGCTTGATTCCCCACACACTCCCTGCCCAGTGTTGACCTCACAGTTTAAAAAAAATGCAGGGAAACACGTTATAGACATATGGTGGGAAGGCAGACAACACTATAGTTGTGGTACTGGTCAATTATTAGTTCATCCAATGGAATAAATGACAGTTTCGTCGGCAGAACCACCGTATGGCAGGTAATTCGACCTTCCATCATCTTCATACTCTGCATATGGTTCTGAATATAAACCACGTGGTAAATTTCCTGAACCTCGATGTCTTGGTAAACTTCGAAGATTCTGCCACGATCTACTATATTTATTTTAACTTCTAAAATATTTTGGGTAAATAGATGGCGCTCTGTAAGAATATGGATTTTCGAAATGATTATATTAACCTTTTTGACTTCTGTAGCCCTTTGGATCATACATTGGATTCTCGAATCAGATGTGATTCGAAGGAGAGAGTATCAAAGAGTCATCAACTTGACAAGATGCAGGCAAGTCTTATGCATCAAAAAGCGATTTGGTGAGTTAACGGATAAGGAGAGATTGAATTGCGATTTCAATGACCATTTGATAGTGCATTCAATTCATGACCCAAGGTCTAGGCTCAGAATTAATTTTTGTGTCAGCAATGAATACTGAGGTCTGGGTATACAAAATGGGTATACCAACAGAAGTCCAGTGTCAGGTAGTAAATGCGTTAACTACGATCAGCCGAGAACTGGACGTACCTTATAAGTAGTCACTGAACACTACTGATTATGGTGCTGCATCAAAATCTATATTTTTTGAATTTCCAAAAAAATGCTCCTTCTCTGTTTTCATCTCAAACGTCGTAGGTCACCAGTGTGGGAAAAAAGTTATATATATAAAATTATAAAAACCATTGGATGAAAATATAAACGATTTATTGATTATAAAATTAAATGCAATGAAAACAAGTTATATTGTTTTTCACGATGTCTAGCCTGCTTGATTCCCCACAGATAGATTGACACTACCAAAAAATCTTAAAATAAAATTTGAAATATCATGATACAGGTTCCTATTCTCCGTAATGTTACCGGTCTCTTTTGTTGAATATTCGCATAAATTGGTTGTCATGAACTATAAAAAACCAATGTTTTTGCTGTTGGATAGAGCGTTTTACTTTATATTAACTTGTAAAACCGTATTTTCAAATTGCACAAATGTCAAATGACAATGTTATCATAGCACTTATGACCTTTTTCGAAGACGAATTATTGTTATATATAATCTGAGGTATGTGCCATTTTGAGGTTAGGGTTTAGAAATTAATTTTGTGTACAATGCTCAATTGAACTGCAAATACATAGTATTTTGGCAGGTTGTTATTACCAACCGATTCGTACATTCAACAAAAAAGACCGGCCCTATTGATACAGCTACTTTATTTATTTTGAATATATGGATATTAATAATTAATTATTTATGTACTTTCTATGTCATTCAACTATTTGACATAAATGAATACTGGTATATTAAGCTTTCTCGATATTGAAAATAATAACAGCTACTTCTCAAGCTTACAATTCAAAAATACAAATTTTCAAAATTTCACAAAAATAATGGTATAGCAAGTTCATTAGACAGTCATATAATCCCATTTGTCATAATGATTATGTACTCAAAGTATTTTATACTTTGCATACTAATTATCAGATTTTATTTCATCAAAATTGGCCAATAAAAACGTATTAGAGCAGACAATACTTATTGTCACATTTCGCAAAAACATTGCAAAACTTCTCACTCTACCATATCACATTTTACAAACGTCCATATCACTTTTAAACTGACATTTTGCATTATTAGTAGACGTTTACCAGTTCTTATTTTTCAAAGTCGTTCGACATGTCTTGTGTTATAGTGCAATAGAATTTCCGGTAGGATGACATAATTTCTTTTCGCTCCGTGCATAGCAGACTAGCATCCATCGCATGAAGCGAAGCACGGTACTCCGTCAGCCGTGCTCTTCCGATGCATCAGTTGTTTCATCGCGCCCATGTACAAAATGCATTCGCGACAACGACAACGTCATGTATCAGTTGACGAGCTTTACACAAATTCTTATAATGGAAAAACGATTTATAATTATCAATATTTTGAAATGGCCATGGGAATGATAATATTTAATGCATTGGAGACTGCTTCTGAGTAGATAAAATAAGTAAATTTCTTACTATAGTTTTCATCTGTTGAAGTCTTGCTTCGACAATTCATTGAACTCCTTATGTAACTAAAAAAAATCTAATATATTGGTGTCAAGATATAGTCGTGCAACAATTCAGAAGAACGTCATTTTAGTAGTGTAAAACATATATTTTTACGTAATGCCTTCTAATAAGTCTATTATGATTCATATAAGCTATGAAAGGTCTGAAAGTAGAGTATGGCAGGGGAGGCTGGGTATGATTGTGCCTGGGTACGGTGGTGACACTCGTCATAACAGCTTAACTATACTGATCTTGAGAGGAGGTCCAAAGGAGAAAAATGAAGTATGTTTGATCGAACAAGTTTCCACTATTGCGTTAAGTTAGCACCCCACATCAACATGATCTATAGATCGCATTGCCTTTAAAGAGTCAACAAAAAGTTTCTTTGTTTGATTTCTTTCAATAATACTTACTTGTATAAATATAGGTCTTTATACTTTATACTTACTTGTATAAATATAGGTCTTATTGTTTATTATTTTGCTGTAAGTTTAACATTAGTAGTTGATTACCAGCAATTAGTGTTAGCGTAAATGGTTTAGCTCAGTCATAATGATGATTAGTTTTCAAAGGTGCGCATTGTTTTTGGTTGTGAGTCTTGTCCTTTCAGAAGAAGTTTAAATACATAAAATGTCTATCTAAACTAAGACAAAATAAATCGAAAGGGAATGAAAAATTCAATACAAAAGCAAAAAGATTTCTTTTAACTTTATTTAAAATATTAGTTTGTGTTATATATTGTTAAATTATATTTTAGAACTGTGTGTTTAAATTATTATGACGTGTTTCGTTACATATTTCTGCTAATAAAAGTCGTTCTGAACTATTTTGGTGTTCGTAGCAATTGTTTTTAACCTATGTTTATGCCAGGACGGTTACCTTGAGTCTAAACTCGCCCTTTCATTCTATGATTTCATTTAATGACTAATTTGTATTCAAGGACAGTTTTACAATAAATGTTCAAATTTTCATTTAATTTATTTGCCTTCCAAATAACTTGTAAATTAACAAAAAAATCTGATTTTAAAAGTGGCACGACCATACCCAGTTTTTCATACTGTATTCAAAGCAATGAGTCCAAAATCAAAATTGTATTAATGCTTTGTTTTAAATTTTATTTAGCTTAGTTTAATACACTTAAACCATGAGTAGCGTTATGATGTCCAATTTTCTTGATAATAAATATTTATGGAAAGATGTTGCAGGCCATCACAAAATTCATCTATATTCCTATGACAATCATATTTGCCATTCACATTTAACTGTTTAAGTAAATAAATAAAAATGGACACTTAAGTCTCTGCTAATTCTTAACACATTATAGCTATCCTTATAGACAAGTATACTTTAGCATTTGAAACATTTTATGATAATCCAGACCAGAGGGCTATCTCCTTTTATAAATAATATCCACAGCCATTTACATAGTGGAATGAGGTATCTGCAGGAAAGATCGGAGAACTTTAACAAGAAAATTTATATAAATTTTGAAAATATAAACATTTTTCGTCAGCGCTCGATCTAAAAATATTCTGATGCATGATCACATCACGACGTTCCACGCTCGACTTTACTGTTCGTGTCACAAGCGCGTAAATATGAAATATTGGTTTCGCTACTATATTACGGAGATAGTATCGTGAAACATGCACGGAACCACACCGAAGAAAAATATCTCTCGCACAAAATACATAAAAATTATAGGAAAAAAATCCAACAAAAAATGTTGAAAATCTCTTAGCAAATATTTTTTAATAATTGTGTTTTCCGCAAAAAAACTGTGATATCATGTGAGTGAAAAACAAAATATTTATGCACATATATTTTTATTTATAAGCTGTTTGGCAATCGTATTTCCTTAATTTTCTATAGATCATCTACATTGTCTTATAATTGAACTAAGAATATAATAAAGATATTTTGATTTAATATCTGAACAATTCTATAATAAATATTATTCTAATACACTTAAACCATAACGACGAATTATGTGATTTGTACCAATTCCGAGTTTCTTATAGCGCGGTTGCCATACAATACAAAGGTCGGTTTCCTTAGAACGCTCTACGAATTAGCCTCGCTTACACGCTTTAGTCCAAGTTTCTTATAGCACGGTTTTCATATTACACGGTGTGCTCTCACCACGTTGTAACTGTACCAAGATTTCCTTAAGAAAGAACTAATAGTTCAAGTCATTAAAGTGGCTTTCAATTTTAACGCTTTGCTGGTGATTATCGAAAAAGTTCAAAGAAATACTAATTTTTATCCTAAGGAATCAGTATATTGTACTATAAAATATTTTGTGTACACGATCATAAATTATACATGGTGTCCCAGAACTTTTAACTGTCTGTTTTTTTTTCATTTAAACTTTAGAACCATAACCGTGAATAACAGTTTTAGGACCACAGTAAAAAATAATAACA